CCTTCGAATTATTGTGACTATGGCAACGATCAGGGAATATGGCCTGTGGACCGATTTACTATTACTATACCAAGTCCACTGCCTTAAAATTGTGTAATGCTTCATAATGCTCATTCTAGACATTCAGCTTTAGGCAAAATACTCTCCAGAAGCGGGTGGGCGGGGCAAGCAGAGCAAGGCGGGTGGACAGGACGGGACAGGCAGAGCAGTGACTGTATGCTAGCAGGATAGTCTCCATATCTCCAATCATCATGAACGTATCTTTCCAGCCTGATCTCAAATCAAATTGTATCAAATCAAATGTTTTTGTCACATGCGCCAAATACAACAGGTGTAGACCTTACAGTGAAATGCTTACTTACAAGCCCTTAACCAACAATGCAGTTTTTATTTAAAAATAAGTGTTAAGTAAAAAATTAAAATTAAAAAAAATAATTAAAGAGCATCAGTAAAATAACAGTAGTGAGGCTATATACAGGGGGTACCAGTACAGAGTCAATGTACGGGGGCACAGGTTAGTCGAGGTAATTGAGGTAATATGTACGTGTGGGTAGAGTTAAAGTGACTATGCATAGATAATAAACAGAGAGTGGCAGCAGCGTAAAAGAGGTGGTGTGGGTAGAGGGGACGACAACAATGCAAATAGTCCGGGAAGCCATTTGATTAGCTGTTCAGGAGCCTCCGAGGAGGAATGCCCACCCGGCCCTCCCCTGTTCGGTTTATGTTTGGCGCGGACTGGGGGGGGGTACTGTCACGCCCTGGCTCTGGGACTCTGTTATGTTGAGCCAGGGTGTGTAGTTTCTATGGGTTTGTTTTCTAGGTTCTTTATCTAGCTCATGTGTTTCTGTGTTGGCCGGGGTGGTTCTCAATCAGAGGCAACAAGTATCAGCTGTTGCTTGTTGTCTCTGATTGGGTACCATACTTAGGCAGCCTGTTTTCCACAGTGTATTGTGGGATCTTGTTCCGTGTATGGTTTGTGTTTTGTTACCAAGGACTTCACGTATCGTTTTTGTTGTTTTGTTCGTGTGGTGAATATTTAATAAAGTATGTTCGCATTCCACGCTGCGCATTGGTCCACTTCCTCCTACGATCGTGACAGAAGATCCCACCAAAACAGGACCAAGCAGCGTGTCCAGGAGAAAGCGCCGGGTAAGGAGCTGGAGAGGTTGGCGATGGCCCAGGTGGGCCAATGGTGGTCCTGGGAGGACATGCTCGCGGGAAAAGGGCCATGGGCTAAAGTTAAGGCCCTGGCGAGAGAGGAGGTACGGCGCCAACAGTGCCGTCGTCAGACAGGCGAGAGGCAACCCCAAGAAAATTTTAGGGGGGGGGCACACGGCATGGATGACGGGGCAGCATGAGGCAGCTACAGGGCGTATCGGGAGAATAGGAGAGGAGGCCACCAGGTTAAGGGGGCTATTGGTCCAGAGGGAGCAGGAGTTAGTGGGTCAGAGGGAGGAGCTACTGGAGGCGATAAGGGAGAAGGAGAGAGTAGAGGCACGGCGAGAGGAACTGTGTAGGCAGCTGAGGGAGCGGAGGGTTATGAAGAAACCCAGTCCCGCTCCTCACACCAAGCAAGTGGTGTGTGTCACCGGTCCGGTCCGGCCCGTTCCTGCTCCCCACACTAAGTTAGTGGTGCGTGTTCCCAGTCCGGCCCGACCCGTTCCTGCTCCCCGCACTAAGTTAGTGGTGCGTGTTCCCAGTCCGGCCCGACCCATTCCTGCTCCCCGCACTAAGTTAGTGGTGCGTGTTCCCAGTCCGGCCCGACCCGTTCCTGCTCCCCGCACTAAGTTAGTGGTGCGTGTTCCCAGTACGGCCCAACCCGTTCCTGCTCCCTGCACTAAGTTAGTGGTGCGTGTTCCCAGTCCGGCCCGGCCTGTTCCTGCTCCCCGCACCAAGCCAATGGTGCGCGTCGCCAGCCCGGCCCGGCCTGTTCCTGCTTCCCGCACCAAGCCAATGGTGCGCGTCGTCAGCCTGGTCCGGCCCGTTCCTGCTCCCCGCACCAAGCCAGGGGTGCTCGTCGTCAGCCCGGTCCGGCCCGTTCCTGCTCCCCGCACCAAGCCAGGGGTGCGCGTCGTCAGCCCGGTTCGGCCCGTTCCTGCTCCCCGCACCAAGCCTGTGGTGCGCGTCGTCAGCCCGGTCCGGCCCGTTCCTGCTCCCCGCACCAAGCCTGTGGTGCGCGTCGTCAGTCCGGTCTGGCCCGTTCCTGCTCCCCGCACCAAGCCTGTGGTGCGCGTCGTCAGTCCGGCACAGCCCGTGCCTGGGTCACCGGTGCCTGTCAGCTGCTCCACACCGGAGCCTAAGCAATCCGCTCCACCGATGTCCAGTCCAGCTCCAGCCAGCGGGGCCAGACCGGACCAGGGGCGCTACGGGGGGATTGTTGGAGGGTGGTGGTCAAGCCCGGAGCCGGAACCGCCTCCGAGGAGGAATGCCCACCCGGCCCTCCCCTGTTCGGTTTATGTTTGGCGCGGTCGCAGTCCGCGCCTTTGGGGGGGGGGTACTGTCACGCCCTGGCTCTGGGACTCTGTTATGTTGAGCCAGGGTGTGTAGTTTCTATGGGTTTGTTTTCTAGGTTCTTTATCTAGCTCATGTGTTTCTGTGTTGGCCGGGGTGGTTCTCAATCAGAGGCAACGAGTATCAGCTGTTGCTTGTTGTCTCTGATTGGGAACCATACTTAGGCAGCCTGTTTTCCACAGTGTATTGTGGGATCTTGTTCCGTGTATGGTTTGTGTTTTGTTACCAAGGACTTCACGTATCGTTTTTGTTCGTGTGGTGAATATTTAATAAAGTATGTTCGCATTCCACGCTGCGCATTGGTCCACTTCCTCCTACGATCGTGACAACGTTAGCCATCTAGCTAGCGTTAGTGTTAGCCACCTAGCTAACATTTGGAATTAGTAACATATCATATGTTTTGTAAAGTCATAACATATTGTACAAAATGCTATTCTTAACCTAGTGTACAAATTGCAATTCGTAACATATCACACGAAATGGTTGATGGACATCCACAAATTAATACATACCATACAAAATGTAACATATCATACTAATTGGAAGGTCCAGGGATTTACTATGTTACGTCTACCCCTGAGTCCAGGTTGATCTTTCTGAGAAAGACAAGACAAAACTGTATTGGAGATGATTGAACTAAATACAAAAATACCAGAAATCAACAGTAAAAAAAAAAAATTATCAGCATTTTATTGAATGAATCTTGAAAGAAAGGAACATTAATACATTTTATCTATGTATCCTGTTCAAAATTATTTCTGCCTTTCGATGCTGATGTGCATAATGTTGATTTTTACTGTTCTCAGTCATTTTTTTGCTATCCTATATTAATTCAGTATTTGTTCAACGTCATTTAAATAGTGTTGATTAAATTAAGACCAAGAGAAGGCTTAGTCTGTGTCTTGTTAATTGGTCTGATAATCTTGTTTAACTAAGTGAATTTAGACCTGGGTGATTCTACGGAAGTCGAGAGAGGACATATGAATAAATAAAGAAACAATCTTAATATAAACGTTGTTTTGTCAAGATCACATGATCATTTTCTGGTGCTCACAGCATAACAAAAGTTGTTTTGTCGGGATCATGAGATAATCTATAAATAGGAGTAGAGATATTGATGATAGATTGACAGTGGATCAGCACATCCTTTTTATTAGGGATGAACCCAGGCAGAAATTGCATTATGTCTGTCAGTTATAGATGGCTTCCAGTTCTGGCTCCAATAAATACAATCACATTTTAGAAAGTATTAATTTTGTTGTGTACACAGCCTGAATTCAAAACGTGTTATATTAATTTTTTACAATATCCCATAATGACAAAGTAATGACATGTTTTAGAAATGTTAGCAAATGTAATGAAAATGAAATACAGAAATATTTAATTTACATAAGTATTCACGCCCCTGGGTCAATACTTTGTAGAAGCCCCTTTGGCAGTGATTACAGCTGTGTCTTTCTGGGTAAGTCTCTAAGAGCTTTCCGCACCTAGATTGTGCAACATTTACCCATTATTATTTTCAAAATTCTTCAAGCTCTGTGAAATTGCTTGTTGAACAGACAACCATTTTCAAGTCTTGCCATAGATTTTCAAGCAGATTTAAGTCAAAACCATAACTTGACCACTCAGGAACATTCACTGTCACCAGTGTAGATTTGGCCTTGTGTTTTAGTTTATTGTCCTGCTGAAAGGTGAATTCCTCTCCCAGTGTCTGGTGGAAAGTAGACTGAACCAGGTTAACGATTCCTTAACGATTACAAGCATACCCATAACATGATGCAGCCACCACTATGCTTGAAAATATGGAGTGTGTTACTCAGTATTTAGAAAATGTTGCAGTACTAATACTAATTTCATGCAATTCTACACATTTTGCCATTAGGTGGAGAGGAACTTTTGCTGTTTTAAAGCTAATTTCCTGCAATTCTACACATTTTGCCATGACTTATTACATGTTCCTATGACAGCTGAGTGAGAGTGACTAACAAAATCAATGGGGGCCCCCTGGAGGTATTATTATTGATCGCCAGCAGCTACTCTTCCTGGGGTCCAAACATATTAAGGCAAATCACACACAAAATAAAAAATAAAACAAAACAGTACATCATATAACATCATTACACCACTTCATATCTACATCACTAAATGTATAATACCACCATACAACAATATTAAAATGCATGTGTTTGTGCTCAATTTCCACATTATTCATTACAATATTTAGTTGAGGTTTAGGGTTTAGTGAATGTTTGGTTGGTTGGTTCCAAGTAGAAAAGTGGAAAAACTGCTGACTTTCTAACTCTTAACAGTAAGTTGAGACCCCGACTGACTTCCTCTGCCTATACGCAGCGCGAAGTCTACGTATAGGCAGCCAGTACGCCACCGAATCAGAACCTTCAGCTGGTGTGCAGCCAGTCACTTAAAAATTGAGCATTTAAATTGATATTGCTCTTTTCATCCTTCAAAAAGCACCAGCTGTAAGAAATAAAATGACTGGGACTAGGGAAAGAGAGGGGGACGGGGAGAAAGAGAGAGGGGGTGAGAGAGACAGACAGTCAGAGAGCAAGAGAGAGAAAGCTGCACTCAGCTCTTTTGTGCAGGACTTCCCCACCCTAAGGAAGATAGCGTAAACCAAAAAGGACAAGGACAGCACCCTGACATCTCCCCTCACCTCAGGCACTCCAACAGCAGGAGCCCAGGCCCAGACCCACACAGCAGGTCTGTCCTCCCCCCTGCCTGCCTACGACCACCAGAGCCAAGACCACACTACCATCAGCCTGCTGAGAGACAGGCCGGCTCTGTTAGAGGTATGGGTTACTGAGCTAAAGGAGCAGCCCCCCCCAGCTACACCATCTCCAGCCCAGACACAGAGCTTCTACAGGACCAGATCAACCAGTGCAGGACCCAGCTGAAGAACTCTGTCCAGGAGCTGAGAGAGAGCCTCACCACAGCGCTTGAGGAGGTAAATGCCACCATGAGGAGAGAGCTAGTGCACGTAAAGGAGGAGATGGCAAAGGAGATGTCTGTCATCAAGAGGGTGCTGCAGCATAGAGAACAGACTGTAGAGACCCCTAGAGAGAAGCTGCAGCCCCTCACCAAACCCCCCCGCCCCCCCTCCCATACCGACCACCCATTACCCACACCCCCAGTCAACAAGGAGGCTCACATGGGGACACCTACTACAGAGAGAAGCTCTCTGGCCCCCCTGACACACCCCTACACACCCCTCCTTGTACACAGGCCCTGTGTACCCCAGCCCCAGCCCCAGACCCACTACTCTGGTAAAACCCAATGAGGTGGCCATCCTCATTGACTCAAATGGGAAATTCATCCAAGAGGATAAACTCTTCCCCCACCACAAGGTGTCCAAAATATGGTGCCCAAAAACGAAGGATGCACTCCACATCCTGTCCCAGCCTGACTTTGACACACCATGCCACATTATTATTCACACCAGCACCAACAACCTGTGAGAGGAGCAGGAGAGAGTAGGCTGCCTGGTCAACAGAGTAGCAGAGAGGGCCTCTGAGTGGTTCCCCAACTCCCACATCACCATCTCCACTCTGCTGCCTCGAAAATACTTTAATCCCTGTACAATTCAGATGGTGTGGCAGCAGACTGGACCGGGCCCAGCCTACTACCCTGCACCAGACCACCACCTCTACCAGACCAGAGAGGAAGCTCCCCGGCCCAGACCTGGCCCCCTCCACTCCACAGGGCCCAACATCAGGACCAGCGCAGCTACGTGGAGGTCCTTAGAGGACAGGAGAATCCTGTAGGATTGAGTGAGATTAAACAGCTCCTCCAATACATCTGCACTAAACGCGCACACGCACACACACACACACACACACACACACATTGTCCTAAAAGTTTACTTGTTCAATGAATAGGAATATATATATATAACAGAACAAATGTTTGCTGTTATCCTGTTTAACTCACTCTTAACAACTTAGTAGTTAGTAGTTACTGTATTTTTGACTGTGCTGTTCTTTCTTTTTGCAACATGAAATCGCTATCAGTTACCATGTGGAACATTCAGGGCCTAAACTCATCAACCTTTGTACTGAAGAGTTTATCACTGGAATTTTTAAAAAATCTTAAAGATGTTGATGTCATCATTCTGCAGGAGACATGGTGTAAAGCAGACATTGTCACTCACTGTCCCACAGGCTACAGAGAGGTAATTGTGCCATCACAGAAACACAGCTCTGTCAATAGAGGCAGAGTCTCTGGAGGTTTGATCATTTGGTACAAATCCGACCAACAAAATCTAATAGATCCCCTCAAAATTGGTAAATATCACATTTGGTTAAAACTGAAAAAATAACTTGTACTGACATAAAAATATGTGTTCCTTTGCGCAATATATATCCCCCGTCAGAATACCCTTATTACTCAGAGGAGATATTCCCCAGCCTTGAGGAAGAGACGTGCCATTTCCAGGCCCAGGGAAATGTGCTCATCTGTGGGGACACAAATGCGCGCACAGGAACACTATCTGATCTAACGACCACACGATGGGACAGCTTTATTACAGGCCATACTGTTTCTAACTGTCTTAATCTCCCCCATAGAAATAACAGTGACAGCACCATCAACAAAAATGGAAGGGATCTATTGCAGCTCTGTCAAAGCCTGGGTTTGTACTTTGTCAATGGTAAGTTACCGAGGGACTCTTTGGGGAGATTCACCTATTGCTCACCTCTTGGCCACAGCACAGTAGACTGTATGATTATAGACATTGACCCTTTCTCTCTCAGCTCATTCACCGTCAAGCCACTAACACCTCTGTCTGATCACAGCCAAATTACATTGTTCCTCAAAAGAACAGACAACCACACATTTACAGCCCAGTAAGCTGTACAACATCAGAAATTCATACAGATGGGCCCAAAACAGCACAGAAGAATACCAGAAAGCAACCAGTAACCAAAATATCCAAACACTCTTAGATAACTTTCTGGATACCACATTCACTCACAGTAAAGAAGGTATCAATCTAGCAGTAAAAAACATCAACTACAGTGGGGAGAACAAGTATTTGATACACTGCCGATTTTGCAGGTTTTCCTACTTACAAAGCATGTAGAGGTCTGTCATTTTTATCATAGGTCCACTTCAACTGTGAGAGACGGAATCTAAAACAAAAATCCAGAAAATCACATTGTATGATTTTTAAGTAATTAATTTGCATTTTATTGCATGACATAATTATTTGATCACCTACCAACCAGTAAGTATTCCGGCTCTCACAGACCTGTTAGTTTTTCTTTAAGAAGCCCTCCTGTTCTCCACTCATTACCTGTATTAACTGCACCTGTTTGAACTCGTTACCTGTATAAAAGACACCTGTCCACACACTCAATCAAACAGACTCCAACCTCTCCACAATGGCCAAGACCAGAGAGCTGTGTAAGGACATCAGGGATAAAAGTGTAGACCTGCACAAGGCTGGGATGGGCTGTTGATGCAATTATTAGAAAATGGAAGAAGTTCAAGATGACGGTCAATCACCCTCGGTCTGGGGCTCCATGCAAGATCTCACCTCGTGGGGCATCAATGATCATGAGGAAGGTGAGGGATCAGCCCAGAACTATACGGCAGAATCTGGTCAATGACCTGAAGAGAGCTGGGACCACAGTCTCAAAGAAAACCATTAGTAACACACTACGCCGTCATGGATTAAAATCCTGCAGCGCACGCAAGGTCCCCCTGCTCAAGCCAGCGCATGTCCAGGCCCGGCTGAAGTTTGCCAATGACCATCTGGATGATCCAGAGGAGGAATGGGAGAAGGTCATGTGGTCTGATGAGACAAAAATAGAGCTTTTTGGTCTAAACTCCACTTGCCGTGTTTGGAGGAAGAAGAAGGATGAGTACAACCCCAAGAACACCATCCCAACCGTGAAGCATGGAGGTGGAAACATCATTCTTTGGGGATGCTTTTCTGCAAAGGGGACAGGACGACTGCACCGTATTGAGGGGAGGATGGATGGGGCCATGTATCGCGAGATCTTGGCCAACAACCTCCTTCCCTCAGTAAGAGCATTGAAGATGGGTCGTGGCTGGGTCTTCCAGCATGACAACGACCCGAAACACACAGCCAGGGCAACTAAGGAGTGGCTCCGTAAGAAGCATCTCAAGGTCCTGGAGTGGCCTAGCCAGTCTCCAGACCTGAACCCAATAGAACATCTTTGGAGGGAGCTGAAAGTCCGTATTGCCCAGCGACAGCCCCGAAACCTGAAGGATCTGGAGAAGGTCTGTATGGAGGAGTGGGCCAAAATCCCTGCTGCAGTGTGTGCAAACCTGGTCAAGACCTACAGGAAACGTATGATCTCTGTAATTGCAAACAAAGGTTTCTGTACCAAATATTAAGTTCTGCTTTTCTGATGTATCAAATACTTATGTCATGCAATAAAATGCAAATTAATTACTTACAAATCATACAATGTGATTTTCTGGATTTTTGTTTTAGATTCCGTCTCTCACAGTTCAAAATCGGCAGTGTATCAAATACTTGTTCTCCCCACTGTATATATTCAGGCAAACGGCAAAAAGAAGGACAACTGAAATTGATTTTTTTTTTTTTTACTAAACTAAAAAGACCACAGATGACAACTGGTTTGATGCAGATTGTAAAATTATAAGGAAAAAAGTTAGAACATTATCAAACCAAAAGCACAGAGACCCAAATAACGGTGAATTACGCCTTCATTACCGTGAGACTTTAAAACTCTATAAATGTACACTCAGAACCAAAAAGGCACAGCACAACAGCAAGCAGCTGACACTAATTGAGGAGTCCATAAACACAAACAACTTCTGGCAAATTGGAGAAAAAAATTTAAAAAATCAAAACAAGAGGAATTAGCGATACAAAATGGTGACATATGGACAACCCATTTTAAAACACTGTTCAAATTGACACAAACGCAGAACAATGCCATATTCATGAGAAGTTGAATGGATTAGAAAAAGCTATAAGGGACAATCAAAATCCATTGGACTCCCCAATTACTGACCAGAAGCTCTATACGAAACTTCAGGCCCTCAAATTAAAAAAAGCATGAGGACCTGATGGCATCCTAAATGAGATGCTCAAATTCACTAGTGCAAAATGTAAATTGGCTATATTAAAACTGTTTAATTAGATACTGAGTGTAGGTTATTTCCCTGACATCTGGAATCAAGGACTCATAACCCCAATCTTTAAGAATGGAGACAAATTTGACCCTAACAGTTACAGAGGCATTTGTGTGAACAGTAACCTGGGGAAGGTTTTCGGTAGTATTATAAATGTAAGAGTTCTAAACTTCCTTAATACGCACAATGTCTTGAGTAAAAGCCAAATTTGATTTATACCAAAATATTTACACCCTAAGCATGTCCACCAAAATGTATGCTTAGTTTATCGACTTCCAAAAAGCATTTGATTCTATTTGGCACACAGGACTGTTCTACAGTTATTGAAAGTGGTGTAGGGGATAAAACATAAGACATAATTAAATCAAATTTGTATCGCAAATTCCGTAAATTTTTCCAGAATTCGTGCAGCATCAAAATTGGCAAGAAAATAACAGAATTCTTTAACCAGGGGCGGGGCCTTCGCCACGGTTGCAATCTGAGCCCTGCATTCTTCAATATTTACATCAACAAATTGGCCACTATTCTAGAAAAATCCTCAGCCCTTGGTGTTAGTCTCCACAATTCAGAGGTTAAATGCCTGCTCTTCGCAGATGACCTGTGCCTGCTGTCACCCACAGCACATGGCCTACAGGAGAGCCTGGACCTGCTAGAGCAGTACTGCCAGACCTGGGCCCTGGCAGAAACCCCCAAAAAACTACAATAATGATTTTCCAGAGAAGATCCGGATCTCTATTAAATATCTATTAAAATTTGGCTAAAACTAATTGAATGTGTCATTGAACCAATTGCACTTTATGGCAGTGAGATGTGGGGTCCACTTGCAAAACAAGATTTCACCAAATGGGACAAACACCCCATTGAAACCCTACATGCAGTGTTCTGTAAGATTCCCCTGCATGTCCAGAGGAAAACTACAAACAATGCATGCAGGGCAGAATTAGGCCAATATCCACTAATAATAAAAACTCAAAGAGCAGTTATGTTTTGGAAACATCTAAAATACAGTGACCCCCTCTCATATCATTTCCAAGGCCTGCAATGCCAAGAGCTGAGCAAAGAAAAGAGTCCCCTCATCCAGCTGGTCCTGGGGCTGAGTTCACAAACCTGTTCTACTAAAACACTGAAGCCTCAGGACCAGAACAAACC